AAACACGTCACTACAAAATAGCCGACTAAAAGCGACGTTGCCACATGACATCGATAACATTTTAAATAATTAAATTTAATTAAAACTTGTCAAATAAATAATTAATAACGATTATAAAACAAATAAATTCCTTTGGAAATTTGTTTTTAATTGAATTCAATGAAAATAACATATTACAAGGCCTAGTTATCGAGTATACATGATTAAGACAAAGACAACAATAAAGTAGTATACTATTGCAAAAACATCAAAAGCGATTATACATGAGTTAGACAAAGACAGAAACAATGTAGGACGTAATAATTCAATTAAAACCAAACACAAAGGAAATAATTTGATAAAGTAGTACCCACTTAAATTGATAACAAAAGTACCACTAAATTAAATTCCTTACATATCATTCATATTTGAGTAGGTCGTTTTTTTTAATTTCAATCCGATTTTGACGTAATTAGGCTCTAATCAGGGTTGCCAGGACGTCCCAGTTTAGGCGGGACAGTCCCGATTTTTAGAGATATTTCCGAACCATCCTGATTCACGATTTGAATGCCAAATGTACTAATTTTTAAAAATGTAAGGAAATATGTCTCGATTTCCGGCCGACAACACCCTTTTAGGGCGCTGCGTTTCCTACCTATATTGTTTTTTTTCCTATCCGCTGTCTCGCTTTTTCAAAGTTAAAATCTGGCAACCCTGGTAGAGGCAAATGCTATTAGTATCCGAAAAGATATCTTGAGCAGGGCGACATAAGGATATGAACTATGTATGGTACATAAAAATTCAGTCAAGAATTTTTCCTGAAATAGGACAGGTGCTGTGGAATCGTTCCTCAGCTCTACAAATGTATCCTGCATTTCATCAGGAACGTCAGCAACATCTAACGAAGCTTGGAACGGGTTCCTTACTACTGCAGCTTTCTGTTCAGATAACTCGGAAATAACGTCCATTTCATTCTCAAGGGATTGAAGGTCAATTTTCTCTTTTAGATTCTGCAGATTTTCTGTTTCTGATGTTTCAGCCATTATGCATACCGATGTATGTTCACAAACATGCGACTCACAACACAACACTCACAACCTGTGCTATGCCCTTCGTCCGTAAGTCCAATGCAACGCTGCGCGGCTTTTAACTGAGGCGAAGGCGCGTGTTGTCAAATGCAGAAACATATATATTAGCATTGCGACCCCTCCAAAAACTCAATGCGACCCCCTTAGGGGTCGTGACCCACCGGTTGGGAACTGCTGCTCTAGATAATAGATAGTACCTGCTAGATAACAACCAGACACTTACCAGTTGGTCCATAATTTGGCCCTAAGTACTTTCTATTCTCTAGTGCATAAAAAGTACCTGCTAGGTAACAACCAGACGCTTACCAGTCAGTCCATAATTTGGCTCTTAAAGTTTTAATTTTATGGCATTTTCTCCGGTGTCCCTTCTATTTGTCAAATACCTGCAAAAACATATTTTGACAGGACACCGAAGAAAACGCCATAAAATAAAAACTTTGAGGGCGTCTGACACCCTTTTTGCAGCGACCGAGACGTCTGACGATTTACATACGTTATCAGTGACCTTCAAACAGATAATGTGCGAAATTTCGATAAATTTTGACCTTTGAGAAAACAGTTTAGATGCTTCTTAAAATTACAACTTTGCGCGGGTCCCAGCGCCAGCTGTCCCGGAACTGTGAGTGCTGACTGTACACTGGCTTTCCATCACTAAAATACAACCTATTTTGAAAATATCAGCCTTCCGAAAACTCTTGCATGTTTTCGACGCCGCCTCCTGGACTCTGACTGAAGGATACGTTTCATTGCAGTGAGCTTCCCCAAACCAAAGAACCCTTCTACAGAATCGCACTCAGTAAAAGTATAAATATCAACAGCAGCCGAAGCTTTATCTGAATCTGAACACAGAGATCGATAAGTAAAAAACTCGAAACCACTTGGTTTTTTGTTATGCATATAGGTACATACTCTGTTCGGTTAAATGGCTTCTGTATGAGGCAATAATCCACACGTCTGTGTCCTCAAAATAAAAAAAACCTAATGAGAATCGCTTAATTGTACCGTTCGGAATAATGCTCTAATATCCGCTTCAGATGGGGAGGATGCCTGAAATCGGGGATCGCATTCGCCAGTTGTAAGGAGGCATCTTGTGCAATACCAATCAGCATTATGTTCATATTTGACCCATTCTATTAAAAGAAATTCGTGCAGCCATCGTTTGTTTTCCGGTTTCGAGAGGAAAGAATGCCATAATTTACCTGTAGGCATTTGCTGGTTAGCCACAGGATATACATCAGGAACAAAGCCGTACAAATGCATTTGACGTTTCTGCTCATGGTGCTTCGCACTTTTCACAAACACTCTCTCATCCTATATATCATTGATCAGATGGAAGGCTACGGCTTGAGGATGGCGATTAGTATATATTTATAAAGACTTACCCCGAACTGACTCCATATCTTGCAAGCGGGTACCTTATTCCAAGCCATTCCAACATCAACTATGACAGGGTATTGTGTCGGTGGTAACACAGGCTGAAGGTTTAAAGTTGTTATAAATTTGGATTTAACGGGCTTATGAAACATGCCATCAGCTGAAAATAATGGTAAACTGATCTCTGTTAGTCTGTGTTGCATTGAATCTTCGAGCGTCATTATGGAATTTTGTCCAGTGGTCAACTGATCAACGACCTGTTTTGTTGCAGCATGATTAACTGATTTTCTCAGTTGTTGTTTTTGTTTATTAGGTAGAGTTTTTGTGGCAAACGTCTTACCCTTGCCTCTTCTGTTTAAATATGGGATCGTGCAGCGATGCATTTCCTGTAGATAGACGTTTCGAAACGGCCTCGGTCATTGAATTACCATCTTCATGGGCTGTGTGCAAACTATTTAGTACTTCAGTTGTTACTGGCTGACCAGTGCAAAGAGATCTAAGGATTGGTCTAGTAAGATCCCAAGGGTCTGCATCCCATTCCTCAAGTGCAACTTTTACAGAACTAATACCTCGATGGGCCTAACTCTGGGTGAAGGTAAAGAGGTTTTTTTCATATAGCTTCTTGTAGTTGTTTGTTAATATACAATACTTACTATGCTAATGGCAATCATGGACAAATTCTTGGAAAATTCTACCCCATCGCCACTTCCTCGATTTTTTGACTGTTTATTCATAGTCATTTCTATACCTTGGTCAGGAGGTAATTTGCTGTAATTCTTGCCTGTTAAAGAAAATAAGTAGATTGCAGCCATATGTTCTTTCTCAGTTGGTGTTAAGGTAGACATACGCCAGAAATAAAGTGAAAGGTATCGCAAATAATTCACATTTCCATATGCTGCTATGAGGGGAAGCATTGTATGACAACTGTCTACATACTCATCAAAACTAACTCCACTTCTCAGGCAGTGGTAATGCTGGAATAGAACCTCGACGTCAATGATATAGGACAGCCAAAATTCTGCCATTTCTGATTCAGATTCCAAAATGTCCGCAAACTTGACACGCACAAAATTATTAAATCAATCTGACATAACGACTTCTTCTGCCTGTTATTCTGGCGATGCCAATTCTTGCAGAGTGAGACTACTAACGGCCGATACTTTTGCTCTCGATTAACGAATTTGATACGTCGTTAAAGTTTTGCATGGACCAAGGTCTATAAGTATGATGTGGTTAGAGCAGATTCAAACCCCTGATTATTTTTAACAGCTGTTAAATGAGAGCAAAAGTACCGGCACTAAGAATATCAGGATGATTTTCTAAGCAGCATTGAATTAACATGCGTACTATAGATTCTGATATTAATTTGTGTAATCGCATTGCCCTGTTGTAATGTTTTCCACTTAATGCTTGCTTGGCACTACCTGCAGCAACAACACCTGACTCTACAGCTAATTCCTCGATGCTACAACCTTCTAACCCGATGCTACAACCTTCTAACCGTTTTCCCAGTGCATTCAAATAAGACATTTTCGTTTGAAATCCTCCCAAGGCGCCTTTAACAAGAGGCCATTTATCTGGATTTTGACAAAGACAATCTTCAATATATGTATAAACTGCTTGGTCACCAACTAGTTGAATAAGTGGTATTTGCTTTTGTTCACCACTCCAACGTATCGTTTACTACTTCTTTGCATGGGGGCTGCGAGTAAGATTTTACATTATATATCCACATTACTTTGTAGGCTGCAATGAAAACCGGTAAATGATGGTAAATTTTCGCCAATGTCCTTCATTAGTTTGAAATGATTTCGGCTGTACTTCACCACGTGCTTAAATCTCTTGGAATTATTGGGTAGCATATATTTTTATTCATTTCAAGCGTTGGTATAAATAAATCTAAATCAACTGCGCCAGATTCACAGGAAAATGAACTTTGTTGTGCTATTATAACATTCGTATAATGACTTGTTTCGGAACCCGTAAGCCCGTCTTCTTGGAAGTCGTCATTATCCATGACAACGGTACCTGGCTGGAATGATGCTTTTCTGTTGAGGACAGAAGATCTAGAGATCCTGTTTCAAAAATTTTCTTGTCTTCTGCGTTCCTGAATCACCAACGCTGCTAATTCATCAAGGACATCATCATGAGAGATTCGAATTTTCAATTTCTTTAAGATATTGATAAGCTCCTTGCTACCAGTTAGGTTATGCACGGATATGGACAGACTTACTTGCATTGGTTGACGTTTGCCAGTAATAAGGTGAGTTATAAGTTCCGATATAAAACGTACAGCTGGTTGTAGCCGTTCCGGAACTATAGCGCGACCTTCTTCGAGTTTAGCACTAGGATTTGCAAGTAGTGCTATTGAATTATGTATGTCATTAAAAGTACTGTCTACCTTCACGACTTCAATCTGGAAATGCCAGTGTGGGTAAGACATTTTGCGGTGCTTACTATGAAAAATTTTAGCAATGTTCCTAATAATGACCGAAATTTGCGTGCCCCAGCTATTCACAGCATTCTCAATGTACGCTTCCCCATGTTTTTTAAAAAAGACTATTGATGATTCGTTTCGTTTGTATCTGGTCTGTCATCTCCACAACGCGTTATTAGTTTCTCTGGAAGTGATCGTAGGACGTGTCTATCGTCACAAGTGTTCCTAATTTCTGCGTCTGAAATCAATAAGTCTTTATGAATTTGTTCATACTCATACAGCAAGTCTCTAAGTGTGTAAACTTCTTTATTTTCGTCTAAGCATTCAACAACAAATTCACACAATTTATTGAATGCAACAGTTTCATTCCGTGTTACCCACTGAACTCTTTACTGATGCTGTTCTTTTTTGTTTTCCATCGCATTTATGTGGTAAATTGGTTTGCAGTAAATCTTCCAATAATCTTTGTGATATCGAATATTTAGAGCAACGGCTTTCAGGATACCCGCAGAATTATTGCAAAATGTTCCTTCCTAACCTAGTCTTGGTCAGCTCATCTTTAACAAATTCAACTGATTTGCAGAAGCTGTTCCACGCGTCTAACGTCTGTGAAATTTTGTCGAAATTCGTTCACCAAGTGTGTTTCGAACTGCCTCTCCTTCCAGTGGTTTTGTGCAAAAAACACAAGTCCTGTAATGTCAAGCTAACATATTTTTTCTATTCTGGTGTCATATCGAAGTCTTTTCGACACTAAAAGTAGTTTCGAAAAGAAGCTCTTTGTGACACTCCTTTTTTACGTATCGCAGGTTGGTAACACTGGCTGACTGATGGCCATCGAACTGTCATTCGCGATAAAAAATAATAGAAGATTTCTATATTTGGCATGTAGTGTTACCAACCTAAACATATGAAATCAGGAAATATGAGAATAAAATTTCCAAGAAAAGTTTTTTTTTTTTAATTAAACAATACCAAAATAGAAAAAATAGTATAAAATATTCGTTTCATAAGACATTTTATCGCACTCGCCCTTTAGAAAACTCGCCTCCGGCTCGTTTTCTAATATAGGGCTCGTGCGATAAAATGACGTCTTATATAACTTGTATTTTAATGTACTATTGTGATTTTTTTAGGTACAGAGTTAATCACAATTATTTTATAAACATTATCATATTTGGTTCCTAAATTCTTCCATTCTCCTTTTTTGGCTATGCTATTCCATGTTTCTTGATTCGGTTGCTGAAGGGGATTTTGTTTCGATCTTACTGCGTCTTTACATATCACACATTTATCATCCGGACTACCCTTCGATTTTTTGTTGGAATGCTCCGGCGGTGATGCAACTAACAACGTTTGCCTCCTTGTCGATTTTGAAGTTCCATTTCCAGTTGCTATTTACCTACCTGTAACCTGTAACAAAAATGTACAACTTAGTATTTAATACATAGATCCCACCCAAGTTTTTGTACAAGACTGTGTTTCCTTTTTTACTGGCAGAGCTAGTGCAAAAAAAAAATCCTGTGCAGTTCACACCCGGTAGAAGTGAAACCTTAATCGAACTGCATGCATTACACACATACTAACATACACAGTGGCGCCCCCCCCTCCAAAAGACTTGAGAAAGAACGCAAATAAATATAGTTTAAAAAAACTAAAATACACGCTAGGGTGCTTTGTTCCACATTTCTCATACATTGAGCACGCCACGCTTTTTTGACAATGATTCTAATATTTTTTGTTCATTAATATTTTCTGTTTATATTAAAAATTATTTTTCATTTTTTAGTTCAATTTACTATAAAAGCGTGTTTTTTAGTTTTTTTAAAATATATTTATTTTTCACTTTATAGTCGATGTATTATAATAGCGTGTCAGCCACAGAGATTTCCAGACTTTTCCAGACATTATCCAGACTTATTCAGAGCTTTCCACAGTTTTCCAGGTTTCATCCAGATTTATCCAGACTTGTACAGACTGATCCGGATTCTGGAAAATGATTCCCAGGTCTTTTGGGCTTTTCCAGAATTTTTCCGCCCCTTGCAAGAAATTTCCAGGCCTTTTCCAGACGTTTCAAGAGTTTTCCAGATAATATCCAGACTTATCCAGAGTTTTCCAGAGTTTTCCAGACTTTATCCAGATTTATCCAGACCTTACCCAGACTTGTACAGACTGATCCGGATTCCGGAAAATGATCCCCAGGTCTTTTGGGACCTTTGGCAGAATTTTTACGACCCTTTCCAGAAATTTCCAGGCTCTTTCCAGAGATTTCCAGACATCATCCAGACTTATCCAGAGCTTTCCAGAGTTTTCCAGACTTCATCCAGATTAATCCAGACTTTATCCAGACTTGTTCAGACTGATCCGGATTCTGGAAAATGATCCCCAGATCTTTTGGGACCTTTTTCAGAATTTTTCCATCCCTTTCCAGAAATTTCCAAGTCTTTTCCAGACGTTTCCAGAGATTTCCAGACTTTTCCAGACAATAACCAGACTTATCCAGAGTTTTCCAGAGTTTTACAGACCTCATCCAGATTTATCCAGACTTGTACAGACTGATCCGGATTCTGGAAAATGATCCCCAGGTCTTTTGGGACCTTTGGCAGAATTTTTCCGACCCTTTCCAGAAATTTCCATGCTCTTTCCAGACGTTTCCAGAGATTTCCAGACTTCATCCAGATTTATCCAGACATTTTCCAGAATTGTTCCAGCTCACTTGGCTTGTTCCAGGTTCTTGTTGTGTGTTAATATAGACGTGTTAAAGAAGTGTTGCTTTTTCGTTTCAGGTCGCTTTTTCGTTTCATCGTCTCAAATCACTCCCAACGATTCTAAAGAAGTTTTCACTTCAAAAAACTGCAGTCTAGTTTTAGACATCTAACTAAAATTTGGGACTTTCGAATTTGTGAACGAACCTGAAATATAGCTATTCATATATTAGTCCAAGAGCCGGCAATATTAACGGGTATGTGATTCTTGCAATGGATAATTTTAACACAATTTATGTTCATATTTCTTTTTTTGTCCAAAGACCTGTAACAGCCGTATGCAAAATCTTCTTCACAGAATCCTTTTTTAACTTTAAAAGTGACTTTGAGAGCTATCACTTCCAAAAATTTGTATTCAGCAAGCTAAATAACGCGCGCACTCGACTTTCAATGAGGGTTGCCATCATTTTCGGCCATCAAAATCGAGGCAACCCTATATATTATTTGAGAAGACATAATAAAGAATATATCTACAAATTTCCAGCTATTGCAACGATAACATTGTTCCTTCGAAAAAAGGGGGGTAGTTAACGCCCAGCCACCAAAGGGTTGCGGCCATGAGAATCAAGGCAACCCATCAAATTTAGTTTGAAGGTAACTATGAGCTATCGTTTTATGAGAAAATTATTCATTGCAACGATCACATACCTGTTAATATTGCCTGCTCTCCTACTATGATAAGTTGTAAAAAAAACAGCCATTTTGCCTTGTGTCGTACAAGATTTTTTGTAATTCATGAGGGAATCTCTCTTTTTAGATTAAAATTATTTGAAATACTCATTCATTTTAACACTGACACGAAACACGGAACGCTCTCTAAATCCCATCTGAACACCGACACGGAACACACTTTTAATCCCATTTTAACACTTAATGATGAAATGAGATCTTAATGAACACTGTATCAGAACACACTGCTTATTTTTGCGTTTGTGTTGAAATGAACCACGTTTGACAACTAAAATCAATGTAAAAAGATGACATTTTGTAACTGAATTACAAAATAGCTATTTATGTAACAAGTTGTAAAATGGGCGTGTTTTTTGCACTAAATTGCAACACATTGTATGCAAAAAACTAGCCATTTTGCGACGTGTTTCATATAAGATTTTTTGAGATTCATTCAAAATATTTAAAGTTCAAAATATAAACTTATTTTAACACTGCCTCGAAACGCACTCTAAATCCCATTTCAACACTCAGTGATGAAATGAGATCTCATTTCAACACTGTATTAGAACACACTACTTATTTTGGCGTTTGTGTTGAAATGAACCACTTTTGACAACTAAAATGAATGTCAAAAAGATGACATTTAGTAACTGAATTACAAAAAATAGAATTACATCATCCTAAATCAAATAAAACAACTTTTTTTGGGTTTAATGTGTGTAATTTAGGTTAGGCTAAAAATCAACATGGCAGCCGAACGAAAATATTTTGGAAATGGCTCCCATCTTAAATTTTAGCAATTTATGTACCAAGGGGATTATGTAGATTATAATGCCCGAAGGCGAAACTAGTCTGAGGGCCTCTGGCCCGAGAGATATTTTTCGCCTGAGGAGCATTATAATCTTAAAATACCCGTGGTGCATACAATGCTTTATTTTCTACTCAACACAATGTTCTTTCATCAATTATGGCGAGTTTATAAAAAAATGAACACTTAACAACTTAAAATTGATAAGACTTAATTTTTTTTTTATGAATCGCTACTATACATATCATAACGTCAACTATTCAAGTTAAATGTTAATTCTTAGTTTAAGTGTTATTTTTTTTTTTATAAACTCGCCATTAGGTGCCGGTACTTTTGCTCTCATTTGACAGCCGTTAAAAATAATCAGGGCTTGAATGTGCTCTAACCACATCATACTTATATAGACCTTAGCCCATGCAAAACTTTGACAATGTATCAAATTCGTTAATCGAGAGCAAAAGTATCAGCCCTAGTAGTATTAACAAAATTAGTTAAACTTGTGTGACAGAATATTGTTTTGTATTTTGACATGTATCTGTATACAAATACAAACAATATTCTGTCACACAAGTTTAACTGATTTTGTCTGGTACTAAATTGATGAAAGAACATTGTGTTGAGTAGAAAATAAAGCATTGTGTGCACCACGGGGATTTCTAGATTATAATGCCTCTCAGGCGAAAAATATCTCTAGTTTCCCCTTCGGGCATTATAATCTACATAATCACATTGGTACATAAATAGCTGTAATGTCCGACTGGTATATTATTCGAGAAATAATGAAATTATGTCAAAGTCAGTTAAATACGAAATAATTCCCTAGGGCGTGAACGTATATCACTCGGGCCAGAGGCCCTCGGGAAATACACCATTGACCTTAAGCGTTAATATCCTTATAATACCCTTGATACCTTAATGACTATAATATCTGTTGAACTAATTACAACAATAAAAAAAGGTCACCTATAAAAACACACGGGACGTGAACTGTCGATCGGACCAAGAAACCAAGAACTGGTTCCCCATTTGCTGACTTGGGTACCTAATGGTTTCACGCTTAGAAAAGAAATGTCC